GATGAAATAGTATGTGCCAATATTATTATCATCTTATTTTTCTAATAATTTTGTCGTATTAATAAATTCGTGAGACGTGATTATTTTTGCAGTTTACTGTTAGAATTAGATGGTTAGTGCTATTGAATTATATATTTCATTATATCGATGTTAGGAAAAATACGGAAGCAATTCATTAAAAATGTCCCAGTATTTTGGTATTTTGGCAAGGTATCCGTTCTCACCTAATAGGATTTAATGGAAACTAAATTGAAAGAATCCTGAAAACATTTGCGAAATAGGAAACGGATAGAGCTCTTTCAGATCAGGTTGACCGATAAATTGACGATTTAAGCCCAGTGCTGGACTTTCTATAACTTAACACCCTTAAATGGGAAAGAATATAGGACAATATAAAAAGGAAAGAAAAATCAATAATAAATTTGGAAAATAGTTTCAGGAAAAAATAAGATTAGTTTGTGCCAAAATTTGGTATTTCGACAAAGTACGTATGTTAAAATTGGGTTATTTTTAATTATGTCCATTTTTAAATGTATGAAACATAGTCAGAAACAAAACGAAACGTTAGGGTTTATTTTTAAACCATAACCTACTTTGAAATCTTATTAAGACATTAGTATTCTACGCTACGCTCATCAACGCTGTATCAATTGTTCCCTTTTTTACATATTTTTTTTTTTTTTTTGTATTAACACTGTCTAATATTGTATAGGTTACGTATAGCTTTCATATACTATTTAGAAGTGGGTAGTTAATGCATTTGTCCACCCTTCAAGCTATAAAACGGTGATGTTGATTACTTTTCGTTGTACGTTTAGTTGTAGTTGAATATTTGAATGAATTGTTGTATTGAACCTCACAACATGTAAGTAGGTTGAATGAATAACCGAAATTTCAAACTGGCAAAAATTGTGTTTTTTTTTTCTTTATTTAAAAGAAATAATTTTGTTTTGACAGTGTTCTGTAGGTACTTGAACGCGTTGAAAGATTTTCTTGGCTGTTTCGGCAGCTGCCTACCTATATTTATCTTTTGTTTGGCTTCTACGAGAAAATACTATTTTTTCATTACTTCTTATTTTCCACTTTCACAGTACAATCGATTTTTTATCCGTCACTTTTAATTAAGAAGTGAAAATGGTATTTTATAAGAAGATAAATGGCTTAGAGTGGGCGTGGAAAATTTAACCATTATCAATAACAGAGATAAATAAATGAACCTAAAACAAAGCACATTAAAGCACATTTTACTTTTCCCTTTTTATAACTTATGTGATGAAAGTAACAGATGTATTTATTTAAATAAACAATAGGTATATATTTATAGATATTATTCAACAATTTCCGTCGTATTTTCACCTCTCGCATAGGGAAACACGCTAAACGTCGGACAACGCGTGTCGAAGGCATTAGCGGGCGTATGGCACACATGCGCAAGAGCATCCATTCATATACATTATGTGTAAAGCCCCACCTACACTGAACTACACACCGGAGTACCTGGCCATCCCAATATTTAATTTTAAATTATATTTTATAACCTTTACGTTGGTTTTATAGGTACTGATATAATTGGGAAATCACTAGATGTAGGTAAATGTTTTTTATCACAGTTAATCAAAGAGCCTTTGTGTGTTTCCCCATATTTAATTTACTTATTTATTATATTGATTTGCGTATTCTACTTATAGATAGGTATATCTATGATATGTATAAATGCTAACAATATTTTATAATGATAAAATATCATAAAGTACCTACCTACTTTGTCGTTGCAAAAACTGGAAGTTTACAACCCGCATCGTAAATAAAAAAACAATTTCCTGTACGTATGCCGATAACAAACATGACAGTTGTAGCTTCGTTACAAATTATCAAATAGATTCTAATATTCCATTTATGAAATTACAAATCTAAAATAACCAATAAGCAACTAAACATTCCGATTCCCAGCCAAAGCTGAAAGCTCACAATGATTTCTATTGAAACAAATTATTCAAACATCATAGGTGCCTAAATAATAGAACGTGTCGAATTGTGTGCTTTGTTTGTATATGAAACTTTAATGCACAGACATAAAGTCAAAGATCGCATGTAAAAGCTAAGATTTTCACCGTATAAGGTGGTTAATGAATACACTACATGGAAACATGCATTTATTGGTCCCGCGAATGGACTCTAGTTTATTTGCAGGTGTAACAAACGGTGGGTCAACGCTCTCCGGGCGGCTGTGTGCGTCACAGCAAACCCTCGCGTGAGCGTGCCTACACCAACATAGTAGCGCAGGGGGGGGGGGAAGGGCGAGGGGATGACCACACCGCTCAGCGACCACATGCTAATTTCTTACCAAGCCCAACAATCGTTCTCAACACATGTAAATACAAATGACACGGCCAGTATTTGCAATACTTTTGTTATAACCAACCTACATGTTCGACACCTTTAACTTCACTACAATAAAAAAAAACAAATTAGCCTACATTACTATAAACATTGCTTTACTATAACTTAGGTAATCTAATTATAACTAAACGTTAAATTGACGTGTGTATATTATTCTAAGTTATCGTTCGGGTGATCATTTTTTTTCCAACAGCTTGTATTTGGACATAGGCATCATCCAAACATTTAAATTTTTCTCTGTCTTTTGCAACCACCTTTATCAGATCTTCTTCCCATCTTATCGTTTGCCCACCTTTGCTTCTTTTGCCATGTCTTGGATACCACTGTTATTATACGGGTCCATTTCTCTTGAATTTCACTACAATATTCCTTTTCGGATAATCTGTATTCATAACCCTATTACTTACAGGTAGCAGTTAAATATAGACCGATAAAATTTAAGTGATATGTTCTAATAAATCATTGAGGATAAAATAAGGTTTTAATCCGATCATTAAGATTGTATTGTCGTTATAAAATGATTCACGCAATAACCGGCTATAAAATGTAGGTTCGTCGTAAAACAAAATGGCGCGAGCTTGACCACCCCTGACATAATCAGTGTCATAGATAAGATAGGGAAGAGAATGACCTACATTCTAATACAAATTTTTGGTCTGTCTACATTAAAATACTTATTTCAAGATAACATTACTATTTTCTATAGAAAATGGCAGTTACCTGACGTAGCCCATAAAATTTGCACTGTGTTGTGAATTAGCTGAGAAAGACCATGGTGTCTATTGTCTTTTATTGTGAAGACAATTCAATAATTTGGGATACGGTTTAAATAACAGAAGGGTTTAGAAGAAAAAAAAAAGAACATAAATCTTAAGAAAAAGTATTAGACGCTATCTAGGTACCTACTTTGTACATTATTATGCTATATTTTTTACTCGAAACAATTTTTAACTAAATAGGTAGTAGACAACATGTTTAAAAATGGAACTAAATTAATTAAATAAAATATTGCGTTTAAATTCCCTACCTTCGCCTTCGTTCCTAAGGGTAGTTCGAAATTCAAACCGCTAGCTAATAAAAAAAAAATAACACGCTCGTGACGTAACGGGACGTTTCAAGCCATATTGTAACAAATAAAAAGGTTGTTATCTATGTTACAGTTTAAATTCGGTCACATGTAAATTGTTAAATAAAAAAATCAAATAAGTAAAAAACCAACTTTAAAAACGAAGGCTACGCATAAAAAGTTTGAATTAGACCCTATTTTCATACATTGGTAACTTATGACGCTACATGTTTGAGTTCCTGAAGGGTTAGACAAAAATGACATTCATTTTTATCCAGTTATGGAGCCCCAAGTTATAAGCGATAAGCGTTTCGCTACACTGGCCTCTGTTCCAAACCCTGTACATATTATATTAACAGAAGAAGACCGAAAAATAACCGAAGTGGACTAGAATCTAATCGATAACCAGATAAATAAACATTAAAATCTGCCTTACCTAAACCAAAATACTAATCCGAAACGACATAACACTAAAACTTTATTAAATGCTTCATAAATAACATTAATTTATATCTATCGAATCCATTTTTTTTAATCCGTCCGCTTCTTATTAATAATTCGGTATCGTTTTATATTAAAACTATAATTAACTTCCACATAAAAAGGTCCCTATAAACAGATCGCCAGTTTTTATTAAGCCATTTAATATTCATATAAATCTTTTACGCTTCATTCTTCTATTTTATGACAAATTTATTTTATATTGTTTAAGTCACCCATTCATTCAAACCCGTTCGTTCGATATTTGAATTATTAAAATTGAAATTCGAATTATGCGAAAATAAAATGGCGGATTCGTTATTGTGATTTCGAAGCAACATTGTCGTATAAGTACCTACGAAAATTATGTTTACATTGTATTTCAATGAATTAATATATAACTAATTAAAGTAATTGCCCTTTAATTATATTGATGCTAGTTATTATATACAATTAATTAAATAAACCACCATTATTTTTATTGTTATTGTTAATTTAGTTTTCAAATCTGTAAACATCATTAAGCCTTCGATTATTCGTATAAATAATATAATTATTTTAAGATAAATAAACACAGACGCATAAACAATGATATCTAAATGATATAAAATTAGTGGAATTGTGATGATAATAAATTAGAGGAAGTTATAGATAAAAGTAGGATGCCGATGATAATACTAATCAACGACTTTCCCTTAATTATGGTATTTATTTGATATTACACCAACATTGTTTGTTTTTCATTATATCAAATTATTTAAACTATCAACTACTTATAATGAACTCTTAAATCAATAATTTAACGGCTAAGGTAAACTTTTTTCTTCTGTGGGTAGATACAAAATAACTTAATTCAAATTGATATTAAATTATATCACTATACTAATTATAAAAAAACGAAATCACTAAATATAAAACACTGAAAACACCATTACCAATGATACACCATTACAATATCATCATAAGTACCTACATATAAAAAGAAAACAATAAAAAAACTACCTAAATCAAAAATTAATTACACGAATAAAAATATTATCAAATAATATCAAACCTTTTTCTTATCAACCTCGAAAAAGTTCGGCATCTTCGGAGGCTCACCATTGGAGCCCTGGTGCTGCCCATGATGCTCCTCCATGAAGGAATTGAAGAAATCCATAAATTCCATTTAATGAAAACCGATGTCAAAGTCAAAACACAACTACAATAGTCACAAAACTATTTCCCGCGAACAAATAAGTCAAATAATAGTAAGGCGAGCGCGCGACGTAAGCACGTGCACAATGAAGTATGGCCGCTCGCCAGACGTCTTGCTCTTGCCAACATCCGATATAAACTAAATTGAAAATTGGAAACAAAATGCAATGTTCGAATCTTGATATGACAATAATAGGCGAGACAGAGATAAACGAAGCGCCGATGTGCGAACGGGACGGCACGACAACCGAGACTGCTCCGCTCCACCCCATCGACATTGGCGGCGCAGGGGTTGTCGCCAGACGAGATCGCTACGAAATTTAAAATTCCTACCTGCTTACTAAGCCGAAACTACATGATAACATTCAAACAATTATGAACCTTAATGCTGTTAACCAAAAAACTATTTTTACATAAACTTACAAGACAGATAAGCTTTTTTCGAGCAAGAATTTTTTAAGTTGTAATTATAAATAGCAAACGTGTGGATAGAATGCGCAAGGCTATTCTGAGAATTTGTCTTGTTTTATAATATACATTGATGATTGAAGGATACTGTTTTAAATTAGTGCGTGAATTGTGAGTAAAACAACATATAAAAGTACAAAGAGATTCTTAGATATGTATTTATGTTTTGAAACAACATTTAGGTTAACAGAATCGTAATTTACAATCGGTTATACCTATTGAAAACCAATAAACACTACAGTCAACGACACACGAACACGCATTAAAAGCGTAAACGAACATACGAGACGGAATGAAGGAACAACTCAGGCATCATATGAACAGTAGTACTCTTATATATTTACATTTTAATGGATATAAACGGAATACATAACAAAACTAGGTTATATTTTAGTAAAAGAACACGCGAACCCTTTTACTAGACAAACTTATGCTATATGTTATAACGATAAAGAAAAACAGCTGTGTCAACATCACTTTGTCCATATCAAATCAAAGCGGCATCGGCATTAGTTAGCAAAAACCAAAATTATCTGCAACTAACGAAATTCCCCTAAACACGAAATCCTTCAAACGATTAATAGAACTTAATAATTGTACATTTGTACAACGAAACGGGGGTCCCACAGACCCGTAATAAAGTCGACACAATATTATTTCGTCATTTCACAAATAATCAATTAAATTCCTACTATTGAAATGTCACAGAATCGCATAGGGCGAATATATCTTGTTATTGATATCTTTATAAATGGGGTGAAGTGGGCGAATCTGGACGAATACGGGCGCTTGAATTGATACGGGTGGATTTTGGCCGGGTTTAACCATGTTGTGACAGGTTCATTGAGGCGTTCAACGGGTTAACAATTGCCTTGGGATCTCAGCAAATTTCAGTCTACCCTCAAAGCAGCATATTTGTACCCACAGCGAACCCAAGTATGTCAATACCAAATCCTCTTTCTTTTAAAATTCATGCATTCTTTTTCATATAATTTAGGACTTAACTAGTTTAAACTGGTATTGACGAGTTTAGGTTCAGGCCAAATAAAAAAAACATTGTGTCATACTAATGGTGATTGGTACAATTTTATCTTTCGATCGATTTCTACAACATACAAAATATTACATATAAGATATATTTGTAGATGCAAAACCACAGTTTACACACAATGAGTAACAAAAAAAGCGTGCAGGTTTTTGTAAATTGCCACACATCCAATAACTTCACCCTGGAATGCCCCACCGGCGGTGCCGTTATTTTGGGAATCCACTGAGTAGACGCCGAAAAAATCCAGTGACGTCACACCATCCCTTATGGTATCGAACACCATAACCTTTGAACGCAGTTAGCGTTTGACTTTTCCTTATGGTATTTTTAAGAGCAACAGCAGAACAGTTTTTCTCCATTTATTAACGTACAGCGTGTAATTTTTTTTCTCGCATTTCTAGAAGATTTAACTATTTATTACTTCAGCTTAAACATTCGGCCCGGCTTTCGTTTTAATGCCTTTGGTTAATTGTACACGGCCATTTACCTGATTTCGAAAAAAAGCAATAGAACAATTTCAATGCAAGAACAAACGAAACTCGAATATGATTCACTATCGCTAAACTTCCTCCCTCAAAAATAATATTAACTGCAATAAAAATTACAATAGAACGGGTCGAATGGGTCCGAACAAAAAAATTTAAATAACGATTAAAATATTATTTTTGTGGCTCAAACAATAGAAGCGAAGAATCTTTATTATCAGAAGGGAAGTCAATAGATACGGGGCATTATTGGGCACGTTACTTGGGAATATTCTGTGAAACTATGAAACAATGGGCCGGGTGGGCACAAATACTTTTTATTCACCATTGGAAACCGATGAAAGATGTACAATAAAGATTTAGTACAAAGCAATTACACTAAAATGGATACGCCAAATTCCCCAGTAATCACATCCAAATGTTCGACTTAAAATAATAATAAATGTTATTTTAACTTTTTTGGGTAAATACTCGTGAGTCACGTGTACACTACACATTTCTCCATGGCTCATCTCAAAATTCTTAACTACGTCTGCCCACATTGCAATGTACTACAATCTTAATTATTTCTATAATTATAAACCTGTGACTTTGCGATCAGGTTTACTCGACTATAATAATGTGTATACGTTCATAAATCGACCTCTGACATAGGCCTATTGACCCGAGCCTGTCTGGGCTAACTTTAGCACAGACCCCACGAGGAACAAATGTTAAATATAAAAAAACGAATGATTCAGTAAAACAAATATTTACCTACAAATCACATTCATCGAATTTCACGATAGTCTCCTTTTAAAATACTTATGTAATTAACATTCTTATAACTGATACAATTGTATCGGCTGGGTGCGGACTAATCGCTCGTAGGTAAGTACCATGCCATCAAGTAATTTCTTTATCAGTAGACCCAATCCTGAACGTGTAATTACAGTTTGGAGATAAGCATTCGTAAAATCGTTTTGAGTATTCCCATTTTTACAATAACAGATTTTATAGAGCTTCGGAGTAACTTGAGTTAGAAAAATTAGAGCCAATAATTACCAAATGGATACAATAGGCATTCACGCTGCCCTCAGATAACAGACGCATCACCTATAATTGCCCTTTGCAAACACTCGTCGTTTCGCACGGGGTGAAGATTTATCGTCGTTCAATTTTAATTAACACGTGATAGTCGATAGTTGCAAATTACCCCAATCTCCCCTTGTGGTAACTGTAATTAAGCCCATGATAGCTCAATGTTCGGCTGCACACGGTTAAATGTAACGTGATCAGGGGTCATTACGTTTGCAAAATAAATTGAAGGTTAGATGCAGAAAATGGTTGTGAATTTGTGACTAATTATGCTATGGTAGCAATAGTGTACATACTAGCCACGATATAGGAAACTAAAACGATTGTAACAATGAAAAAGGAGAATGTTGAAAAAGGTTTAGAAAAGTAGCAAAGAAAGTCGAAGCTCATGTTTATTTAAAAGATAATTTCGATGAATGGGTGCTGTATTTTCCCCACAAGCAAAACCTACTAGTAAAATTATAAATGGGTACTTGTGCGTAACCAGATAAACAGAAGAAAAATCTAAGAAGTGCTATTGTTGTTAGAAAAGATGTCAATGGGAATTTGGCAAACCCACGATGCGAAAACAAACATGATTGATCAAAACACTGACGCTGAAAACAGATGCCTGATCTGACTAACATATAAAATGTTAATTCAATAATTTAACCGTCAATATTAACTGAAAGAGTAAAAACTTGGAGGCTAAGAGCAGATTTAAAACTAGCTAAGATTAAAGGTATTTTAGAATAAGAAAATAAATACTTTTTACTAGTTCGCGGTGCTATAAAAATTAATATTGATGAAAGAGCTTTGTTTTCGCATGGAGCCGTTTCCAATACTTCAAATATTCAAGATGGATTGTCGTAAACTATGGTTTTATTTCCATTCTTAATGTCCCTTTTTCATTTCGTTTCATTAGTATGGTTTTATAATACTCTATTTCTATAGCGATTTTGTTATTTTTGTTTAAACGTTATGAAACTAAACGTGGAATCAATCAGCGGCTTATCTTCCCACATAGGTTGTAAAACTTTTCTTAGAAGAGGGTTAAATGGTTTGTTAGAGATAACGGTCCGACAAGGTGTAACTACTACTTACGAAATAGTATACCTATTAGTAGATCCTACCTGTTTGATACGAAAAAATGAACATGGAAAACAAAAACAGATGAAAAGGACATAGATATCGCAAAAGTGTTTGATATACATAATTCAAAACACAAGTAACATTTTCTTTCTCAGCCATTTAGCTTAGAATTCAAATGCGTGTCCTAGCCAGCGTTATATCAGCCCACGACGCAATATAAGCGACTTACTTAATTAAAGTAGACTTTAAAACGCCTATAAACAGAGTGTTAATGGTGTGTCGTTACTGCCCCGCTCCCTAGGTGGCGCGCCCGTTGCAACTGTAGTTCACTCACGGCTATCAAAACTGCTTGATTTCTAATTAGATAGCAAGCTGTAAAATGTGTTTTATAGAGAATTAATGAAATATTTAAAAAACTTCGACAATAATTATTTCAGTAAAATAAATTCCAATTGAAATAATAAACTCTATAATAGTAATACCGCAATAATTGCCAAACATATACATTGTACACATGAAAATATGACAGCGGATTCCTACGAATAAGAGAGTAAAGCCGTAGCTTTCATTCAGTATATAAGAAACATGTACACAATAACAGCATCGTTTGTTTCTGAAAACGACGAATAATTGTCGAAACTCACTTGCAGTGCACCGAACGGATAACAACAGGCTAACGTAATAAAAACCCCATCAGAAATCGTAACAGTTGCATGTTTACTTCTAAGAATATCAAGAATCACACTTGTACCGCGGTCGACGTGGCGACGGACGCGTTCCGTTCTCGACACAAGTGATAAATTATTGAAATTGATAAAACAATGGATAACTATACAAAGTGTTCCACAGTTGGGGAGGTCGTAAAGAGGAAACGTTACAGGCTGATCGGCGCTTTGTGATCGCCGCTGTCTAAACAAATCAAGCGCACTCCTCTAGTGCGGATGACGTGGACGCTACCGGTTAGCGGCTGAAGCGTGCTCAAGCGATTGATTAGCTTTATTGTGCTTTTATTTTAAAAGGTAGAGGGTTAATGTTTCAGTCTGTGCTTAATTGCTGTGGATACCCTTTTATCCTCTATTGCTACACGATAGGATAAGCTAACCAAAAAACTGTAACAAAAAATTCAACACTGAATTTTTATTTCATAGATCTTTCTGATCAACAAAACAAGGCAAAAATCTTCATGTAGCCTCCAACAGAAATTTCTAATTTGACAATCGACATTGACTTCAAATTAAAATGTGTCATTTGTCTAAGAGCATTAACAAACTGAATACAACACGTAAAATAGCTATGAAAGTCATTATCAACTTCAGTGATGTGATGACCACAAAGACCAAAACCCAGTACCAAAGGACCGCTGACATCCAGCACCTGTTCTTCTACTTAGTCCCAAGTTAAGTGCATCCAGTCCAAATGCTACAAGCCACAGCTGTTTACTTGCAACTCATTAAGTAATTTCCTAGAACTTGTTTAATTGGGCCCTGATCAAAGGGACTATGTTTTGACATTTCCATTGTTAATCCTTCTTAGTTCTTTCTGTTTGTTTGTTGGTCCTTATGTAGCGTGATTCCTTCTTATTGGACTGTTAAAGTTTTATTAGATTTTGCTTTCGTTTTATTGGTATTGTCTTCGGTTAGTTAATTAGGAATTGATTACTGTATGGTAGTAGACACAGACTTTAGTATTATTTGTTGATAACTATGCCTATTTCAATTTCCTCGCTAATTTGATAGTTTTGACGATTGTCGTGGAGTCCAGTTTATCGTTTATTCCTAGAAGTATCAAATTTACTACTAGAAGGCGTAGGTACACTGAGAATGAAAACATTGACAATGTACGGCAAAGTCGAAGTATAAGTCAAATCCTTTTTTTCAATAAGACAATTTGAGTCATTTTTTACTGTCAAATACAATATTTATCTATAGAAAGTGTCTGTCGGTAGGTTTCGGCCTGTACTGCAATAATCCCATGGTACAAAAAGAGAAACAGTACATTTTAAGCTATTGAACTGAAACAATGAATTAATAAAAAATACAATCAGCAAGTTAGGTCAAGTGTTACATTCGAATCGCTAATGTTAAAGGTGTGTACACATAGGAGCGGCCGCATCGAATCGTATGTAATAAAATCATATTGACGTATCGACCGACAAAGTGCGCCGGCGCACCGTACCCGCCCTAATAAACAATTACGTGTATAAACAGTAAAATTATTGTTGTTCGCAGTTTTATCGTCCGAATCGAGCACCGACAGTAATATAGGTCTGAGAAAACTTGAAAATTGAGGGACTAACAAAAAGAAATACGTTCTGATTCGATACAAGTTTACTACACAACCCCAGCTTGGAATCTATTATTACTGATAGATATTCATTATTAATAATAATGTCATATAGGTACTTGGAATTAATTTCAGTCCAAAAGTTCAACTCATTAGATTAATGACGATATCAGAATATTTAACAAATCAATAAGCAATTAGGTAATAATTTATTAATAAATAACAAATAAATAATTAGCAGATAAAACAACAATATTATTAAAAGAATACTTTCCAATACATAAACGGTGGTTTTATCCTCCAAATCATTTAAAACATTCAGCAGATACAAACTACAAAGTAATAACAGATCTTCAGCTTCTCGCCCGTAAGCAAAAAAAAATTTGTTGTAAAATTTAAAATAAGAACAGGAAATGATAACCCGCGGGTCGGCTGCGCCCGCGCCACCCCCAGCTCGCGCACAAACACATGCAAATAACACTGACATAAACGTAAACAGAATAGTTACGCATACATGAGAAGGATGGCAATTAAATTACACACACATACACACTCGTGCATCATTTCAGAGGAAAAAATGAGAGAAACAATATGGCTGACATTGCTAATGATATAAGTTATGAATAAATATAATGAAATCCTAATGATATTGATTGTTTATTGATATTGAAACAAAATCAATAGAACTGAGGAAACAATCGATTCATTGAAGGTATCTTAAATTCCAACACACTGAAGCAATTATAAGCCGAATATTAAAAACTGTCATAAAACTGTAGAGCCGATCATTTCACATGGTTCGTGACAGCGATAACTGTAAATCTGTATTTCAAGGGGATTGTAATCATCTACTCGAGGATTCGGGACATTTTTTGTTGCTGCATTTGGATTTATTTATTTTTTTCCCGGTGTGGCAATCTGGAAATTTTAGAATAATCTCTAGTCAAGAGGGCCGCCACATGTGTACGACGCATCGGCGATAAACATTTTATAGGAATGTTTGAAGCAAAAACTGCAGCCAAATGTTCGTATCGATTTAGGGGTTTCACGTAAAGGAAGTTGTAATATAAATAATAAATCCATGTCCGTGGTTATGTTACAAAGAAACGGAGGCATTCATCAATTTGGTAAAGGAAGTTCGTATATTTTGTTAAATAATTGCCTGGTTGAAGACCATTTAAGTAAGAAAATGAGAAATGCTAAAGAGGACAGCATTTATCCTTTAAACATTAAAGCAGTGCTAAAAGACCAAATTAAAAGAAGGCTAGCTACAAATTAAGAAATTTGCAATACCAATTTGCACACCCAAAGTTCATGATTCAGAAACCGAATCAAGCTCCTGAAATCTTTGTACAAATGCAACTAACCAACCATTTCATTCGCTTCCAAGTCAGCAATCACGCGATATAAACGGCCTCGTCCTTGATACTACATTCACTTTGGGGGGCTATTAATACCGGCAGATGCTGCGTGCCTCGGTGCCTCTATTTCAGGCGCCCTCGCCCCCACCCTTACAACCCTCGTGTCGCGAGCCACTCTTAGTAACTCGAGCATGTCTCAGACGCGTGGCCAAGAGGGGTTACATCACTGATTTCATGTACATCGTAAGTGATTTCTTACCCCTTAGTGCAAAGAAGTTTATCGAAAACAATTTGAAAGAATGACTCTAAGGACCAGGTTTCAGAATTCAGATGGACTTCGGTACACTTTAAGAAGATTTCACAAATATCTTTACTTACAACATATTTATTTTCTTTAGGTGTTTTAGGTCAAATATTGTGTAGTAGTAATTGGACCTAAAACTTACGCATTTAATCTGGTCCTAAGTATGGCTGACTTAGATATTCAAGGTAACAAGCGAAATGATTGGTAAGACAATGATAACATAATCCCAGTTCACCTATTTATAACTTGTTGCACGGTTGCAGAGTGACGGTCACCCGACACGCTAATGCGCCCTGACTCGATACATATGGACCACGTGTCCACACCGATGGCCATCCACACTATTTCAACATTACACAACAGAATAAAATTGTTGATCTGTATTAAGTTGTTTTTAATTGAAACTGTTGCGTTATAAATTAAGAAAATAGATACATCCCTACAGAAGAGTTATTCTCTAGATTGATTATAGACTGGGCGAATAAATGCGCCAACGCATTCTACATAGGAAAACAAGGGAAAATTTCATTCAGATTTTACACAAAACAACGTTCCTAGAATGCAAAATAATAAACTACTCGATAACGGATCAGAAACTAAACACAATGAGCAAAAAAATAATTCAAAACGTACACACGTTTCTAAAAATACTTTAGGGAAACAAACAGTTTTAAATCACACAGAATCGCTTACGCGGCTCACTATAAACATGGAATTATCACACAATAAAAATGTATTCCTAACAACTCCGAATTGCAAGTGTGAACCGTCAATCCGCGGGTCATATCAAATAATAAATCAGTTTATACTCTTAAACAATGTACTTACGAGGATTTAGAAAACAAACCTGCTCAATTACCATCCATTTACCATCAATATTATTTTCATCTATCGCCAAGTCATCGAATTCGTTGATACAATGTTTCATCTAAAAGGAGAATAATAGGCAATAATTTCGCAATGTAGTAATGATTTGATTCGAAAATATCTCGTAGTACGCTGGTTACTACTATCGAAACCGTTATAGTAAATTTGTTTCTGTTAGCATTTCAACAGCTACACTGATTCAAGTTGCGAATGATATCATCCAATCCTTAAGCAGGATTATTTGCGTATTGACTACAATATTTATATTCGTTTCTCAATCATATTTTATAAACATAGAAAAATTGAATAGTTAATATATTCCTATAATTACTAAGAATAAAAATATAAACTGGTCCTTTCCCCGGCTCGAAGGACCAAGACCAAGAAATTATAAATGGATTCACACCGACTATTTTGATCCGCAACGTTTGATGCATATGCAAATAAAAGGGATATCAAATTAATACGCCACATGCGGCATGTTGCACGCATTGATAGCACTCCCACTGTTAAACATTACATTTGCGCCCAAGATGTAGGAGAAAGCGAGTAGAAAAACAGAAACTTTCTTGTAGTTACAAAGTTTGTTTTGAGGGTTGAAAATTCTGTAATACAGAAATAATTCAAAAAATACTTAAGTCTTAGTCGTTTATTAGAATTTATAATACTTGAGTAAGCTTTAAATCAAGTTTAGAAAGCTACTTGACAGTCACTTATTCTTGTTAACTGAAATTCTTCCCACATAAAATCCAAAGTGAAGGAAATCCCATAAATCGATTAAGCATCATCCCATCATTGGTACCATCGTTCTCGCCTCCCATGACGCGTGACTTGCGCCGGCGCAGGGGCCCCATGCGAGCCCCCAGAAATAGCGATCAGCTGGGGTGCGTCAGCGACGATATCACGCCGAGAACTACGCATGCGCGTGATATGTCGTCCAAATAGAAGGTAACTCAATACTGATCAAGTTTACTGAATTAATTTGGTGGGTATTTTTGGAAAGGTTTTTTTTTCAATTTTTTTTCAAACTGCAAAGTTTCGCACTTTGCTTGTCGCTAAGGGGTGAGTTTAGTATATAATGAAAAATCTACATAAACTTTATTGTAATATGAAAACAACTTTAAAGCAATGAATAACAAGGCTTTACTAATCTCCACTTGAAATAAACACAACTACAATTGTCAGCAATTAGTGACACCGTCTCGTCAAAATGTCATTACTGTCAGAATGACATTCAATATCGACCAATCAGAGCGCGTCATTAAATATCGTCGCCATTATTATTGCTACACTAGTTAAATATATCGATATTTTTGTATTTAGTCCACTGAATACATTACTGTGTTTAGTTTAATATTAATGATAATTAGTATATTAAAATAACAATCGATATGTGAATGATGTCAGTGTATTTATTTATAAACTGAAGGTGATATGGAGGTTGTTATTTGCCATTAAAGTCATATCGTAATGAAGTAAATACAAAATGTCATTTCCTCGCGTCGATGAGAAAACCATGCTTTTCTCAATTGGCTCCAAGCCATAGAACTGACCTCTGTTGTCTCCGTTCCACATGCAGGGCAGTTCTTTTAATCTTTAAACTGGTGTCGCAAGGTGTGAAAGAAATTGATGTCTGATTTTCGTTATCTAATGTTAGACCTATACAACATGCAATAAAATCTTGTTATGTTTAGAGTATACATGATGCATATTCACCATGCCCCCTATTATAAGAATGATCTTCGATGTCACAACAATAAAACGTTCAGTCTTACTGTCCATATAACACGTAGTCAGATAAATAGCTCCACGGCCGATAAATGAAGCCGATACACGTAATCACACCGATTTATGTACAACTAAACATTTTAAGGCTAATTGCGACGACAAATCGGCTATTTAACGATAATAGCCGCATCTAAATCTAAAGAAAAAACAACAATAACGAGTTTGAACACACCTTAATTAGGATAGGAAGTCTCGAATGCTTTTTAATGTTCACTAATTTGTTTGTTATGTAGCTACGTGTGACGTCACGAGAAAGTCCAATGATAACACCTAAACAAGAGCTTATTATAATTCGTAACGCCATTAAAATTAACACTAATTAGCAGAAAAATATGTGTAGCCAAATAGAATTGTACAAGCGCAGTAATAACCTATTTAGAACAGCATAATTTACATTAACAAACATTTAAAAGCAACGAATAATGGCGAAGTTATCACAATTGACATTCATAGACAATTACTGTATCTTTTTAAGCAGCTTAAACGTCACTAGGGCAACACTGCAGAAAAAAAAGCTTAAAAGCTCATTCGTCGTTAACTTTCCAATTTCAAGTGTATAAAACATTCCACCCTGATAACAGCATCGAAAGCATCCACCAGATAAAACGTCTAGACGGAATAAATATCGAAAACACTCGAATACCAGCACGATGGCTCACTTGGCTAATCGTTTGGGTTGCCGTTAAAAAAAATACAAGTCACATTTTTTTTCAACACACCCATAACCTACTGCCACTTTAAAAGGTTTACGGCGAATCTAATAGTTCACGTGCATTTAAAACTACCATGTTTTGAGATTACAGAACCTTTGGGTGTGGTGATGTTGTTTACATTTTAACTGCTTACTTATTTTGGAGGAAATTAAGCTATTTGCAATCTTAAAGACTGGATACTATAAGAACGATGAAAATGTCCCCGTCGCTTGATAATAGCTCATGAAATAGTTTTTAATATCTCTAGACATCAAAATGTTAAAGACATATTCGGACCACGTCAAGAAGTTGATGATAGAGATCTATCACCCACAGATAAAAACTACACTTGTTTAACTTCGCCATCAATAAAAGTTTCACATCGGTACAACCCCATCAATTTGTAGCGAGCAACATGTTTTGCAATGTAAGTAATTTATAGCAATGATAAATAGTATAAAATCAAACATGTCGCACATAAACTGCGCCGGCGCAGGGGGCACTTGACTAATGGACGAGCGGCGTGCGCGCAGCCGAATACGTGACAATACTGAATCTTGGACATTGCGACTTTTATTGAAACTCGACTTTTATTGTCCAGCTTATTATGATTGTGTATCTTTATTTATTGTTTGAAGACTAAATAGGAATAGGACACGAGTTTCACATGCAAAAAACCAAAGACGTAGGAAGTAATTACAATTGACAATTCTGATGTAGGTAAGTTTTCTATCTAAGATCAATACGAACGAAAATGTTGTATGCAGTGACCGCATTCGTTTGGTCAGTGAGTAAGATATTGGGAATCGGAAGTGTAGGTACATCATGGGAACCAAGATTACAAAGCTCCAACTTATTTATTTAGTGTACTTATAAGTTGGAAAGTTAACAAAACTCGGGTGTGACACAACGGAAACGAGACACACCTCAAACGCTCAACATTTTTCGATTGTGACACCAAAATAAATCTAAAAAGCCGACATGTCTGTGTACCAACATTGTAACACGCTTTAAAATTACTCCATGAATGCACTATCAGACTAGTAGCAACACAGTAAACGCTAATAAAAGTAAGGAACAACAATAATCCACGACGATGATTTAGGGTCGGAAAACGTACTTTCCAACATGGCCGCCGTTTATGGACTTCAAGTCTTACATTAGTTACTTCATTACTACATTTATAACCCTACCAAGCACGCAACAAGGTGGAAAATCCAAGTTGCGTTGTGCATTTTTTGCGCAAATAACTGTTAATACAACGACACCGCCCTAAAGAGGGCACAATAATCATACTATTAGCGGACGTATAAATGTTTATACACACGGAACTTCACAAGAGAATCAACCTTGTAATTTTTGTTATAGGGAAGGAATTACGTGGGAGGAGCGAGGGGGGAAACTTTTTTGCTTTATTGCGCTACTATTTATCCACAACATTGTATTTACGATTAAGCAACTGTATAATAGATAATTGCAGTTCTTATTTATACTAAAGGTAATACATAAATAATATGATTTTCTAAATACACACGCAAACAACGTCCACTGTATAATTAAAGTTGCAAAAGATTGTAAGTTGTCATTAGAATCACGTAGAGGTGCGATCCGTTCGTAATCACTGCACAGTTTACCTTCAATTGAAGAATGAAGTTCGAATGAATGGGATGTATTTACCGAGTCCCTTGTCCAGTTAGAGTAAACCTCGGAGATTTCATTCAATCGTCAAATTCATCACTCTCTGAATCAACAACACACGAGGCGTTCCAAAATGAACTGATCAAATATAGGAAAGTGATAGAATTATAACAGCAAGCTGTGATATGACGATTCGTTGATTGAATGGCTGATAGGTTTGGTGATCAGAAACGTGTCTACTGGGCTTTAGATTTTGAGTATAATAATAATCCAGGTCGAGGTAAATTCTGCCATAAGTACATGCAAATATGTTAATAAACAAACCAGTTAAAACAATTTAATGTAAAAACAAGGCATAGACACATAACTATGTTTAAGCAAAACGAATCGTAATTTCGTGTTTATTATTGGAATCTTGTATTAACTAGAGCATTAGAAGTATTAAAGCAATATCTAAACAGCGGCAGTATGAAATGGTACAAAGGCACCGTGACGCGACACAAGTGGACCGATGTCGACGCAAACGCACCGCAGTCGCGCGTGCAAATGTGCGATTATTATGCGCTGCGACTATCGCAACGCGTTTGTTTCGGTCGAAACCCGGAAAGATTTGTAACTATAGCACTTTATTGTGATTCTTCTTATTAAATTTATAAGCAACAAATAATGTATTATTTATTTAACTTTCGAAAACGGTTACAGATTTTAAAGTAGGTATATGAAGAAATTTATTTGCATACATACGAAATCATAGTTACGATGTCAATAAATCACAACAAAAGGAATCAATCCTGCAACATTGTCACCGCATGTAACCGCACAAAGGCTCAAACTTTTATTAATCGTGATAATTTACATTGTAGCGATACTTATAATTTACTAGTTCCATCACAAAGGGCATACATAAACTGAATAAATACGAATACGGCCGTAAACGGCATTCCTGTGACTCAACATCCAATTGCAATACATTAACACATTTACTATGTTGTTTTGTTGGAGCTACAGTCCTTTATCCTGCACCTATTGTAGCACAAATTGCAATTTTTAGGACAAATTATCATGCTCAACTTTGAACCGAATACAAAGGACCATCGTTGACGCCGTATGGCCCGAAGGACCAAGAACAAAACGCAAAAGCTTAATTTAAATAAGAAATTGCTATTTTCGCATTGTCTGAAAGTAACTCGTTCCCGAAATTGGTTTCGCCTTGAAATATATGGTTAACTAAAGGTACTTTTAAGTATAAGTTGGTTGTATAGTTCATAATTATTAGTCCTAACATTAAGCTTCAACTAAGTCAGAGGAGCGCGAAAAATGTAGTGCTAAATAAAATTTATCAATCAATTCATCATTTTTGAAAGAAAATTTCTTTAAAGCGAGCATATATTATATTAATACAAAACAGTTTTAAAAGGACCATAGAATGTTATAGTTAAATGGTCCTTTTAATACTATTTCACGTTTACATGCGTAAACGATGCCAATCATTTATTGATATCGATAACACCCGAAGGCAGAACACATCAATAACCCCCAAAGGCCTGTATATATCCAAAAGATAATTCAACAAATACAATAACCTTTTGAACCTATTCTTAAGGTTTATAATTGATCCGTCGGTTGGTAGGTATCAATTTTGGTCTTTGTGAACCTTGTTAACGTGAGGGCGCGAGGCACGCGAGCAAACCGAGATAAAAGAGAACATCTACCTCGTTAATTTACCCATAAGATGCCATATGTATTAAGGTTCATGTAAGACGTACCTACATGGTAATACTGATCAGCAAGGAATTCAGAATTTTACCTTTTACATTACGAGTAAAAGTAAGTACCAAGGTAGCTTTCAGAATACTAAAAAGCCGTCGGTTTCGCACGTCGAGGCGATCTAATGATAATTTCTTCAAAGACTACATAGTCTTTGAAGTTCTAGCCTAACTCATGACTTAGAGTAAATATCAAATATTTCTCAAGTTCTCATAGAAACTATTTCTATGTATATCGTATCAAGGTGATCCACCCCAAACCTAACCAGGTCCTTTTATTACAAAGAATTTTTAAATAATATCTCGTTGTGTAAGTCAATCCTTATTCGGTATTACGCCGCTCAAGCGTGCCTTCAGTTAATAAGAGAACAAAAGAGGCGTGATCACCAACAACTACAATTTTATACCTTTCTTCCCTTTGATAGAATACTTAACAGCTTGTTCAGTTGAGTCGTGAGGTGAAAATAAAATACTTATCATTACTCATTGTATCAGGAACAAAACTACAGAACTTGTTAACTTTCTGCTAAACGGCGAAAATGGAACATATATTTAAGAGAACGAAAGGTTTGCCCATTACATACGAAACATATTTTAACAATAATTTTTAGCATTCACCTCAAAAATTGAACTGCCAATTGAAAGAAACTTTTTATAAAAAATCTATCCGTTTGACACTACTACCCTTTTCAATCGAGTAACCAAGCCCACCTCATAACAGTTTGTAAACTGTTAATAATAAATACATCAGCACGGAACCCTTGCACGACCGCAATAATGTCATAAAGAACATTGACAATCTGTCCTCAACCCTCCCAACGCGACAGCGGATTATTATTCATCCGGGGCCCGAATGACCCCTCACATGTTTTGACAACCCTTCGCGAAACCAATGAAATATGTAACAAAGGAACGGGTTGAACCAGCCATTATATAGCGATTTAGGAATCCATTTTATTGGACACATAGACACGTAATGTGTGGCTAATGAATAATTCAGTAGGGTTGTGTGAGGGTCGGCGCGATTTTATTTGATTGCTCTATGCTAGGTAAACGTATTTATGGATCTATTATGCAACAGTTTGAGTGGCTACGAAGTTAACTTACTTTGACTATTAAAATTGCTATTGATTTTATATTTAACTTAACATTTCAAAATGGCGGTCTTGGTTCGTATAAATTATTTTGAATATATTTAGTTAAACGTAAAGGTAAATGTATCAAAAATAAACACGATCTTACCTGACGGACCTGCTTATACTGTTCCTCAAAGCTCCAACCGGCAGCGCTGCCTTCTGATGAGGAGGATGAAGCTGAGCCTGCAGGCTGCGCTGGCGGGGGTGGAGCGGGTGCCAGGAATGCTGGTGGTGCATACGGGAAGCCTCCTGTAGCCCCGGCACCGGCTAGTGCGAATACACTGCTGGGGGTCGACAAAGGAGCCCCCTGGGCTAATGAGGCCAGCGATGATAAGTGTGGATGTAACGAGGATTTTAGAGACTCGAAGTCGTCACGGACCTGGTGGAAGTAACATTTACTTTATTACTGACTGAAGGTAAAAAAAAACAATATAATATATAAAGAACGAATAAATCAATCAATTGTTTTAATTTATCTGTCGTAGGCCGGCAAACGAGCAGACGGATTACCTAATGGTAAGCAATCAGCGCCGCCCGTGGACACTCGTAGTACCAAAGGAGTCATCACAAGTGCGTTGCCGGTGTCTTGTGGATTGTTCAGGATTTAAGGATAGGGGATTTGAGGATTGAGGATTGTGAAGGGCGGAGTTGGACCTCCGGTAATCTCACTCTCACGGCCAAACAGAATGTAAGTGTTATTTCGGACGTTTTTCTGTTAGGCCGTGGTATCACTCCGGTCGAGTCGACCCATTCGTGCCGAAGCAGGGCTCTCCTACACTTATAAAAGAAGACAATTTTATTAACATGTATGTATGTACTTACTTTGAGTTCCCTCTCGAGAGGTCTGGGCGAGTTCCTCTGATGCTGGTGGGACATCTGATGGCTGTTCAGTGGCTGGTGTTGCACTGACCCGTGGTGGTTCATGTTGTGTGAGGGTTGATGTGTCATGTTCTGGTGTTGGAGAGACTGATGGGACTGCAGAGCCTGGTGAGGCTGCATCGGCTGATGGGGCTGGTGAGGGAGGGAACCAGGAGCATCCCTCCCCACGCCCTCGTCTGAACTCTCACAAGATTGCTCCCCTGAAGACTCTCCTTCAGATCGTGCGGACTGTAACAAAGAATTGAATGTTAGGTGGAAATTTCAAAGTATTTTCCATATTTTATAGTCCAAGTTTTTATTCTTGAGATATTTGGCTGAATATCAGTTTTTTATATATGTGGTTACTATGACCCATAAGTAGATGACGTTGATATCACATTCACAAACTTTTGGACTACCTTCAAACTTAGTTCCATAACTATCACAGATATTCAGTTGCAAGACATATCTATGCTTAATAGTATATGCTATAAATATGTTTAGTTTCAATACTTAATAAATATTCAAAGGCCAGTTATGAAACCTGAACTAAGCATTGTTGAAACATCTACAACTTCAAACACTGCTAATAAAATCAAGAACACATTTAAGGATGTAACAAACCATAATATAATATTAGATCAAACAATCATAATACAATAAAACAACCGAATCTAATTATATATATAATACAACTATAACATTGAAACATTAATAAATTATAATAATCGTTAACCCTGAACTGCGAGTGGGACAAATTGTACCAAACGCAAAGTTTATAACTGTATATCATAACCTAACTACGGTGAATAAAGTTTCTGCGATAAATCATAGAGTTTTCCAACATAACGTTAACGTAATTACAGAGTTTACATCTAGGTTTCATATGTAACTTATTTTTAAATTATAAGCGAGTGGCAGGTGCATATCAAGACTGGTCATTTGGACCTGGACCAATTACCTATAAATGTCGTAAGGCGTCAAACTTACCGTGTAAATGTTGAAAAATACAAAGATGACATGTTAAGAATACCCTTTATAAAATACGTAGTATTGTTAAAGTAACATGTTATAAATAAATGTATCGATAATTGGCATAAATTACCTATATGAGAATACAAAACTTGTCTCAACAGCTTCGCAGTTGTTGAAAACGAAGTCCTTATCAATCAAACACTTGAATAAGATTGGTTCTGGATTTTAAAAAACATAAAGAGCGAATATTAGACAGACGTAGCCAACGTCCCGCGTTCTAGCGGAAAAGCGGGTGCTGTTTATTCATATTGGATTTTTTCCGTATGATTCCGGGACCCCCGTCGGCGAACTCAGGGTTAACAACCAATAAAGCAATAACATTGTAATACGTATAATTAGTACAAACTATTATTCTCCTTCGATTCGCATTTAATCTACATTTGTTTACTTTCTGATGCATACATTTAATAAACACAATTTGCCGTGAGCTTCCGTTCCCGGATTGCCGGAGGAGTTAAATTTATTCAATTATTTAAACATATTCTTTGTTTATAACGATATCGGCGGAGTAACATGTGGCGGCCGCAATAACTCGCCTAGGGCACATAACATTTGCTGAAAACCAGCTTATTAGTCAAGTTTTTGAATTATTGCAATTACAAAGACATGTTTCAACATCAACTTAATACAATAGACTTGAAAAATACCCCGCTGCCTGTATGTAAACTGAAAGAAAGGTGCTAAACGAAGCAAAATAGACGTTTATCTTCCTAGAAAGCAACTAGCTAGTAAGAGAGCTAATACAATCTTGTACCGTTCTATCATTACATGCATTACAGCAATTGAGTGAATTTAATCGGATTCACGGAAATCCACGAGCGCTACCTCGGTACATAGGAATTAATGGCGGGTCTCCGCGCGTAATGCATCATTCCATTGCGAGGAACACGTACCGACTATGCGAAACCAGTCCCAGTATTAATGCAGTTAAAGTTCCATCGGAATCAATATAAGGCAAGTGTTGGGACCGGCCGCGGCAATCAAATCGTTGTTCGAAATGAGCGCGTTTTGCGCCAACACAGCCCCCGGCCCACAATTACGACATTAAAATTATTATTTTATTTCCATTTTTATTTATTATTCGCATTATTATATTGTGTGGAGTTATTATCGGTGAAATGTTTCGTTCGGATAAACGCTCGCCTTCGAACGACACGCAAGCTTCCTTCAACGACCCACTGCAGGGTTCCGCGTCTTATATCAATTAATGTGCAACAATTTATCGTGCCTCGTATTACTTGCTGGCTTTCTACCAAATTGGTTCATGTTTCGTGTTCAAGGAGTGTCCTGAAAGCTGCCAGGGATTCGTGATTCCTCGTGTTCACCCTTTGTGTTTTCATAAGCTTCCTTAGTTAGCTATGTGGAAAATTGACACACTCGGTCGTCGGAATGTTTTATAAAATTGTTGAAGTCATCAACCCTAATGAAATATTTCGGCACAAGTTGCCTTTAACCCGTACTTTCAAGCATCACTTTATCTCAATTCCCGAGCATTATAATCTGGCGGGAGAAGGTCTACCCCGTTTACGGAACCCTATAATCACATCAATCGCGCTCCCGTATGCACACCCTGTCATTTCATTCGACTTTTCTTTCTCATGGGTCCAGACTGCTACTGGATTCCTTCCACCTTTTATTACTTTTTAAGGTGACCGCAATTTTATTTAAACGTTATATCAATAAAATGAGCCACTTAAAGCATTTCTTTTAAGTTCGTCTACCTTAAACACTGCGGATTGAACAAATTCAGTGAACATAGCAAACACGGAGTATACAACAAGTTGATGTTATTATCATGTGACGAACTGTAAAAATCAACAGTTGCACGTACTGATAAGTAGGATAACGTTAGCACAGCCCGCGCTAACACCAGAACAAACAGAATCGGAGCGACTTAGCTGCTGCGGCCGATCCCTCGCGTGATTTTATAATATAATATTAACTGTAACTTGTTTAGTGGGCCGATGAAAAGGTTCGATGTATTACACGAGTCAATAATACCGACCGGAATTTTACTACACGTTAGCACGTCGCCGAGGAAATGAAAAATGGACGCCGTCTTGCACCAATGAGAGAGAACACTTGACACAATATTGCACCCAATTTGTACCATGTAAACAAAACACACTGATACGTTTTAGATCGTGACCTCAACAAAGAAACGGAAAGTGAAAGAATTCATCCATTGGAACCATTAAACAACCCACTTGCTTATTATTTGAACAAACAGGGAATAGACTCGGTGCCGTTCTTAGAAGTATCCCGGAGTAATACCGAGATATAAGCAGGAGGACACACCGTTGATTAGCGTCTTTTACCAGACACGACGCCACCAAAAATAGCCTTAAATAGTTGGGAATTAAGTTCAATTCTTAATAGAGCATAAGTTACGGCTACCGATATCAATGAAGATAACAATACAGAATGAGATTTAGACGAAAATATGCCCTAAGTGTTTGACATAGATGCTTGAACTTGTACTACCAATCATAGTGGAATACAGCACTTAAAATTAAACTGTCACTCGTTGTAAATACGGTTGAATATTCCAGACTGTATACTTTTCGATATTTTATACAATGTAATATTTGTGATAGAAATCATAATCGTGTCTATGCGAGTAAATTTTATGAGGCGAAATCAAATAGAAACTTGTAATGAAAGATGTCGTGTGCGCTCAACATGTTTGGTCGGCATGTAAAACAAATACGTGTGGTAATAAAATATTGAACATTTAGTTGTTAATGTCGACAGAGACATCGACAGTGCGAGGTGAAACCATTGATGACTGTGTAAATTAATTGAACACACGACAATTAACCAATTCCGTATATGAGCTTGCGAGACCACGATAAATCGATCTTACAACTTGAAAAACGGTTTATACAAATTTAAATTTTATTAATATCATCATAGCGTGTAATTCAATAATTGTAAAAACTATACAAACATGTTCATTTGTTTCAGAAGCGTAAACGAATAAAGGACAAAGAAGTTCATTAGGTTCCCGGCGGAGCGCGGTGCGGCGTGATGGAAATGTTCGCGCATCCTCACTCCCTGGAATATTTATTAGCAGGATCCGTCACGACGAGCTTTGTCCACACATTAGCAGTGTTAACGCCCAGGATGGCTACCTGCGTATTTACCTAGACTGTATAGCCCCTCCATATTTGCCTAGATATCCACACATATCTGGTGTTTCGCAGAGGTCGTTGCAACATTCATTTGAGCAATGTATTGTTGACGTCGAAGGGAAATCTGCCTTAGTGTTTGCGTAATATACGAGGGAATGCTGATTGTACAAGATGCTTCATACAAATAACTTGTAAATGCAGCCATTTTGTGCCAACTGAAGACTTTCCGCATCGTGTTATGGAGGTCCGAGGCCTCGGCGATGTCGCCGATGCAAATAGTAAATATGATTTGAAGAATGCTGCAATGTATGAGTTAGAAATAAAAATGTTCTATTGAAGAAGTGTAGGGGAACGTGCGGCAGTATGACAATGTTGCCACATTAACAGTCACACTCACATTAACATTAGCAGACATAAAATAACCGCCAATAAGCCAAAGCACGCATCAAAACGTCGACAAAGCAACAGGTTCTTGGCTCGACAAACACACTCTGTTTACATTACGATCCTGGGGCTTCATTTAATAATTCTCGGGAACTAAAAGCCTTTGAACATTTCATCAGATGACCCTCGCTGTTTGCACACACTCCTGGCTCGAGATGCTAATGTGGACACAAGGACCTGTATCGCCGATCGGCCTCCGATGCGTTTATTGTTAGCCCTTCCAATAGCTTTGGCTTCTTCTATTTCACTGCGATGCTCGATATCCTCGATATCTTGTGCAAACATGCCTCGGAATCTTTGGCATTTTTTCTTTCTACCTTTTTTGTTGAAATCGAAAACTCGTATTGTTTTATTCTTCTAAAGTGAGGTCAAATTATAATTGTGTAAGTGTTCTTCACAAGTAATAGTGCAATCCAATTATAAGGTTGCATAAAACAGCGCTAACATACAAATGTGCACATTAAAAACAATACGCATGGCGCAGGCGTGCAGTAGCATATCAGGAAGCGACCAGTGTCACACAAAACGAGACAAGTATTTGAGCAAAACAAAAGGTGATAAGGAGAGGTAAATAACCCGAGCCATTGACGGCGTGACGGAGAGCGGCGCGCGCGCAGCTCTGCACTCACGCGGCGCGCGACGCCCGCGACCCGCCACCGGCGCGCGGCGCTAAACTCTCGTTCAACAGCTGTTTAACGCTTCAAATACCGCGCTGAAATATTTTCAGCGTCGACTATTTAGCGACCGCCGGCTACCGAGTTGAATGGAGCCGTTGCGAACTCGTCGACCGCTTCACTACACATTTTAGAATCGACGCGATAACACTGCAGGTACGAGTGGTGTGCTTCTCGCCAGGTACATAAACATTTTGTTCCGCCGGTTTCTAATAGATGCTCATTACAACCGTACCGACACTATTGAATTCGAAATCATTTGGCCTCTTAATTTTATTCAAAATACCGCAACAGCGGTAAGTAGAAAGAGATTGACTCGCTTATTGTAATGATAATTATTTTTAGAAAACAAAAACTAGAAAGCGGTCGAACGAAGATGCCTATCTGTTAATTATTGTCACCAAAATGGTGGCCGTTATTGTGGATGTCTCAAAATGGCGGAATGACAAATCGTTGGGTTTCGTGTACGTTCCGTTTGATTGACGCGTGCCAGATTCCGCAGTAATATACCTTTATACATATTTATTTATGCGTAGAAAGCGCAAATAAAAACGAGTTCTTTAACACTGCGATTGAGATAATGAATCGATGTTTACGGAGAGTCGCGGTGCCAGATCCGACGCGGACGAGCTACGCCGATGGAAGATTAATACATAGGAGGATCTGGTACTGTCAGTTATTAAGATAATATTTGTGATTGGAAAATATCGAAATCGTTGAGACAATTTCGAAGCGTAGCAACGAGCTGGGGTCAAATATTGACAATTCTCACGAGGCATCGGCGGACGCGGCCGCGGCTGGACGCGCTGCGCTCTATTCCTTCCGCTTTTCACACATATAGGTAATAATCGATCGCTTTTATTGCGTGGCGTGTGTAGGCGAGCCGACGACGGTGACATTTCGAAGAACCTTAATGTGAAATGTCGTTTGCCGACGAATCGAACGCGAGACGGACGTTAAGTGGACCGACAAACTGGAGCGGTCCTTAGCGCGTGATTTCGTTGGAACACACGGCCGTGCTGCGCTTTTGTCATCGATTTATCTGTTGATCCGCTGACGCATCGGTCGCCGTGTGAAATGTGAACACGCCAGGTAAACCTCGAAGCTCAGCCTTTATTTGCATTATTAACTTATTCTGCAAAGCGGCAAACAGCCATCATCGTGTATAAAGTCCTTTGTGACGCTAAGCGTGTTTGACTTGACTCATTATTTTTAAAGGGAAGAGTCATTGATTCGCGAAAGCGACCCCGGGTCACTTTTCCCGCCGAGGCGACGAGATGAGGAAAAATGATAACCGATCAAAGATCAAATAAGCAAATTAATTCAACATTGCGGTTGATCATAACAAAATCGCTATTTCATTTTGTTGTTAAACCTATTGAACGTATAAGTTTAGTGAATCGTTTAAATATTTACTTTAGAATTTACTTCGAAGCTTCATGCTTATGTACTGAACAGGAAAGGCAGTTTTGTATAGGTAATGTGGATTAATACGAAATCCATTTACGGAAATCGAACACATCAAGTACCTAATAGAAGAATGCAAACGATAAATTGTATTTATGACATGAATATAAAGGCTAAATTCCTGTGTGACAATTTGTGCTAATCTTCGCAATACGTATTGAACGATCAATAGAGGCGCCAAACGGATATGCTCTCTGTTTGTAAAGATGGCCGACTTGTGTCACTTCCTTTGTAGAAAACGTCAATCGTACCGTTTATAGGCAGGTGACCTGTTACCTCGTGACTAATTAATAACATTGTAAACATTACTGTACTGGATTTGGACAGAATATGCAAATATTTGACCTTCGTCTTTTTAATAAAAGAAGTTTTGCTGTTAACGGGAAAAGTTGAGGGGTTTCCCTTTTCCATCGTGGTCTATCAAACAATGGCAGAATTGAAATGAGGTCGGTATCTATCATTACCAAAACAATTTTTTTAATTGCTTTTTAGTATGCTATTACAATTAAGCCAAACTTATTTCAATTGCGATAAGTATTAGCAAATCAAAGACTGTATTGTGTTACCTTACTAAAAGCTGACGCATTCGCTTTTTTAATATCAGAAACGCACCTTATCTGAAGCATCATCCAGGGTTGCGAGTCAAGCACAATAATGTACCTCAGCTGCCTTGGAGCTTAAAAAGGAACGGACTGGCTTTTAGTCAGTAAATCTGACACTCCCCCTCGACCCGATATGAAAGAAAGAAGTTATATTATGATTTTTCCCCCACAATTAAACCTTCAGAAACTGCACCCGGGTGTAAATACAATAATATACAGCGGACGATTGCCAAATGAAGGAACTAGTTAGATTTTAGCCATTAAGAGTCCCACTCAAAGAAAACCACATCTTCATCAATCGTCAATTGGAAACTGCTGAACACAAATCCTCCTTTAACGAAAGTCAACTGTTGAAGAAAAATCCTTCTTTTCGGTCTGGTTATCTACGCAGTGGCGCTTAATATGTAAATACCTTATCATGACCAGGTTATAGTGAACGGGATCCCATTGCCTGCAGCTCAGTACCTAATACAATGTTGGAACATCCGCCATATCTTCAGTAGACCACTGACCTACCTGCGGTCAGGGCATTAGTATCCTCTAATGTTTACGATCACCACAAGTCCTAAGTAATTAAACTTCGGTTAAGGCTTGGTTTAACGATACGGTTTACGGCCGTCACGCGTCCATTGTATCTCATATCGAATGTTACCAAATGTGCAACTATGTAAACAGACAAAGCCTAGGATTTCTAATATAAACCTACTTAGGAGTTAGTTTCTGTGCGTCTCGAGATTTATGTGAAACTCTTTGCTGTAATAATTTGTCTTTAAGAGGCTCTAATGTAACTACTGAGTTGAATATGCTGGGTTTATTTAATATTTTTGTTTTGTTTTTAGCTGATTCTTTTTAAAGTCTTTTTTTCTTGTATGTACCTTATTGTAGATTTAACAGTAATAAGCTGGCTACTAAACGGAAAGGATTTGAATCTGTATTAAACAAATACCTAAAGATAACCCTTACGAAGATTTAATTTTAACTGAGACACTGATTGTTAACAAGACACCGAACAGTAATTTAACGCCATCTATCGACACCTAAACGAAAAAGTATTGAAAAAATTATCGATTCGCAATAGGTAAGTCAATACGATTCATAAGTAACATTAATCATTGGAAAAAAAATTGATGTGTGCCTCTACTATCCATCTATGTTCGATGTAGTATAAGCAGAAGTGTAGTGACACTTATCGACCCACTGACATCGTTTATATTGATCCCGATCCCGATGATTCCCGATGATACACGACGGATGCCGATCTCAGCTATTCTTTGACATATTAATGTAGTTATGTGACGTCGTGTTAAGGATATGATAGATGAATTCTCTTTTTAATGTTTGGATTTTTTTCCTTTATAGCATATACAATTTTAAAGAATTTTGTGGTATAAATATGAATATTAATATAGTTAAAAGATAGTTCGGCGTTATTATGACGTTATTTATTTTCTTATGAATTTCCTCGATGTAACAAATATCTTAGCCGCCCTCCAATAATTTAAGAAAGCAAAAAAACATTACTATTTACTTTTAACATCAGTCTTAAGTCTGAACTTATCAATTTTTCCTGCTTTTTTTCCTTCAGAATCATTTACCTATATTATTTTGATACTTCATAGTAATTATCCATTATGGTCACAGTTCTTAGAAGAGCTATGACGTCTAGACTCACCTTTACCGAGTTTTCAAGTTTGTTTAAACACGTGATCCAAATATTTAATCAAACACTAAGCCTGATCACATACATCTATTGCAAAATCTAAAAACAATTGCATCAACAAAATACTATTTGGAATTTGTTCTTTCCTGTTTTTGTATAAAAAGTGTTATTCATGAATTAGTTCTCCTATCGTGAGACATACTAAATTAAATAAAAATCGCGCGGAGGACGTAGTAGGCTGCGCGACATCGCCGCGTCCGCGCACGCTGCTCATGAGGAAGAACCCCTCTGGGGTTCGAAACTAGTAGAGCTTTTCTCAATTTACACACGCGAATAACCCGCGATTTTTAGTTAATTAGCTTTCCGTAAGGTATAATTGACGGTGATTAAGATCTTAGAATTTATCATGGTATTGTAATGCGTAAGTTTTTTACTTTTTTTGCTTAAAGCATAAAAGTTAGGTTTAACAGAAAGTGTGTATAATAAATATATATGTATACTATATAATATATACCACGGCTCCGGCCTGGAGCTGAAGAAGGAACGAGGTGATTTTTAGTCAGGCAGATTCTGTCACACCCTCTCGAGCTAATTTGACACTGCCTCTCTTTCCACCTAGGCCGAGAGATGCCATGTGATGATTTTCCCTTTATTTAAATACAGTCTACACTGATTAATACTAGGTACTTTGAAATTACTTAAAATATAATTTAAAATTGCTTATCCATGGAACAGTAACTAAAAACTATGAACGTAAAATAATCGTCAAAACTTTCTACCTACTATCAAATCATGCATCTACATCTAAAAAAATCAAATGCACTCTACATATCACATAATCTTAACATCAATGCGCACAACAAAAAAATACTAAAGTCGATCCATTATTTTTATTCAAACCATTCGAAACTCAGTCAGACCATCAAAACAAACATACATTTTAAAAATCAATAAAGTGAACCCTTCCCGATAACGTTCAAATAAACCATGTCGATTCAAATAAAAGCAAATCGAAAAAAAATCCTCCGGGTCCAAAAATATTGTACCTAATCGAATACCAACAATCTGTCAACCATCTTTGTATTATAATATTTGTATCGACAAAAACTTATCATACAACTAATGCATATTACAATAAAACGATCGATTTTATCTTAAACTTGTACCCGTTTATCTTACGCGTGTATACCAAATTAAGTGGCTAATTATATCTAATTTAAATATTCATTTCTGTATAGTTACAGTCGGAGGTAATTTAAATATTGTTTCATGTTTACGTTTTTTGTTGACAAAAATTTTAAGGTGTAAAGTCTGAGGAGACAAAAGAGATGAGGTGACAATGTCATTTCCAAAGCCACAGATCCTGTCACTTCCTAATAAAACGCCGCACCCCGCTGCGCAGGCGCACCCTATTTACAAACAATACACTACGCAACCACTCACATTCGCATCCGATTAATTCTTCATAATAGCTTTATAAAACCAATGTTTATCGCTGTTACTTCAATCTCGTTTCGTATATTGAAAGTATTACTCATACCAATCAGATAATACCAAAATACGCATCGAACACGATAATTGATGATTTAATTCAAACGGTATGACATGAAAGTAAGATCGTGTCTCAAAAATACCAAGCTCGCATACCTGAAATAATTGATAAATCAATGCAGTTCTCAACGCGAGGGGCACTAAATCAAAAAGAATAAGTGACCGTCTATCATAATATTTTGACGTAGAGAAACGTGCTCGATATTAAACTGTTCCCGCTAGATGGCGCGATAACGGGCTGTCAAACTCGCCTGTCATTAGCTTATTAATGGCCGCCGAACGCCATTTTGATAGAATAAAAAGTTATTTGAGTTTTATTGGCCCTTTGTCTCACTTTGTGTACTCATTAATTTTACAGTACAACATGACAACTCAATACGGTGAAGCTTGTTTGACGTGTTTAATATAAATGATACGATGCTAACAGAATTAACATAGTTAATACATGTAGTAAAAGTAACATTTAAAACCAAGCTTGATAAAGATTAAGAGAGAAAATAATAGCACTGATATCGTTTTATGAAGCGACGATTTTAATGATCTAATTAAAGTTTGCGACATTGAATGCGTAATAGCATGGTCGCCAGTATTTCACAGAATACAATGGCTCTCCCACGCAACGTCTGGCGTGAAACTTGCACATCCTCTTGCAATTTGAAACAATTTGCATATCTACACACGTCATTCGTGTCTAAAAATAAAGTAAATTCAATTTATGTGTTTACAAAAAGTTAACAAACCAGGCCGACTTAACACTTTCGCTATTATCCTTCTTTTTTTTTAAAGGCAACACTGTCTTATTTAGCCAAACATTCTGGAGGCGATTTCATAAGTAAACATTTGGACTGGGGTGAATTGTGTCTTGATGAAATGGAAATAAGATTGAGTTTTGTGTTTGATATAAGATGAGTTATGGCATTTTGTTTAGGATTGGATGTGGGGATAGGACCACACACGGATGCCAGTCAACATCGGCCCCTAGAACAACACTTAGTATACTTTACAGGTAAACTAGTAGCTCTTTGGAAGCACACATCGCGCAATTTGATAGGAGACTATTGCACAATAAATATCTACATACAATAATAAATTTTAAGTGAAAGCAATGGTTTTTTGTAAGCAAATAATTTCTAATCTACCACATTGATGTCATTTGATAAATATATGAGTTTATTGGCCAAATAAGAATCTAGACACGATTATAAACAAAAAATGACTGATCAATGAACTTATCTGTATTGAAGAGGCACGCGCAATGACAGTTTTAAACATTCTGCCTGAAGATGTTTGAACAAAACGATTATCATTGTGAGTAGCTTTTTAAAAATACATCTGTTCACTTTTAAACCACAAACAAGACCAGATAAATAAAACTGGTTTCCAGTTCCAGATGATTTAATTACACAGTAAACGAAAACAATAAAGTTAATGTACAAGGTGGTGTATAAGTAGCGAAGGTCGTGTGGGCGAAGCTGGAGCTGCCACAGTAGCCAGACGAGCCGACGACATCCGATGACACCCGACAACAAGACTCATAAGTCACAAACACTGACGTTTTAAGTGCATATGCACATCGCTGAAACAATGCAGCTGTATCTTAAATTGAGAAATCAGGTGTCATTAAGAAGGAACTCTAGATAAACTAGGTTCAAAAACTTTTATTAATTACATGACCTAGTCTTGAGGATGACTAATGAAGAAGGCTAACGTTTGACATATAACCTCTTTTTCGTGCAAGGCATGTGTGGCCATTTAACTGTCAAATATTAGAAAAAAATGCTTGAGATAGATTTGTTGAATTTGAAACGCAATTCATTACGATCTATCTATATTCATGTCGAATAAAAAAGTCCTCAATAAAATTACTTTTTCATTTGAATTAAGAAACGATAAAGTAAGAAGTAAGAAATAATAAACACTCGATTTTAATCGGAAACGTACATAATATAATAATTTATCTGAACTTGGCGATCGGAATAAAATCAGATAACAATGGCTGATTGATAACATTAATCAATGACTCGATAGTGATTACTCATGGTAAAATGGCGTACCTTCGTATCAGAAACCTGAATGACGGGAAACCCACTACTGGGCATTTATAAAGCAATTTGTTGCTATAAATCTTATATAAAAGAAAGGACAGAACTGGTTCTTGGAGTATTTGATCTTGATAAACAATTTATTTTGCATTCCATTCCATTGAGTATGAATTGAACCAATTCGAAGTACAAAACGAACTAGCACTGTTATTATATCACATTAATATGTCATAAAAATACATAGATGCAGTCCTGTAAAGCAAAATTATATTTATCCTGAACCTTCAGCTGCGCAGTGTCATCGGCGCTCGCGCCGCGTGTCCGGGTGTGAAGCGACAGGAAGGGGCGTGGCCGCCGCACATTAGCGACTGTTCGAGGAACAACCGGGCCCACTCCCAATATCACAAGGACATTAATAACTTGCGTCATATTTAACGACGGAAAAATGCTATAATTGGCACTAAAGTATGCAGAAGAAACCCATCATTATCTCAAGTGGTAATTAAAAGATTTGTGACTGTTTATATCGTAGATTGTGTAGCTAAACAAACCTTATAGACTTTTAGCCCAGCACTTGCGCTTTGTTGGTTTAACTACTAACAACTAGAAAGTTAATTATAAAATCCAGTTAAATAACGCAGAACGTCCATTAATTTCCACTAAACCACTAGAGAGTACAGATCAAACAAGTGGACGAGCTACCACAGTTACGGACCACACTGCCGGCCAATTATGTGACAACGTGGACGAAGAACTCAAGAGGGTAAACAATGCGGGGGCGATCCGTAACACGGTAGTGATGACCCTCATAGTCCTCCTGGGAGGCGCGAGTTGGGAGGGATCTGGTGTACATGACTTGTTGGTAATTCAATAACAGGGGTCTTACTTCAATGCATTGTATACCTAAAACAAAGCCGCTTTCTTTGTTCCTATATCTCGATGTATGCTTAAAGCTTTAAAACTACGCAACGGATTTTGATGAGGTTGTTTAATAGATAGAATAATTGAAGATGAAGGTTTATTAATATAATAACATCTATTAAATAGTGGAGAAATTAGAATCAACATTGCACCCATGCGGACGCGCTAGTACTTATAGGTACTTATAAACGTTACCTACAACATGTAATATACAATAATTTTGGTAGTCCGTTTGGGAGATCGCGAGACTATGGAGAAATCTAAATCGCAGCATCGCTAAGAGGTCGCATAGACCCCGTCCCGTAGGACCACCGGTGTTACCATCAGCAAGTCAAATGGACCGAGAAATACGCGAGTCATTTTAGGGTTGCGCCTAGTTAACGCGATAAGTCGGTAAAGAACCGCTTGATACTTTTTTATCACTTTTTGACTGTATTATTAACACCAATGTCGCCATGTTTTACGGTACACTAGTACAAATTAATAATTTCGTATCTAAAACAGGCAAAAAATTGGCAGTCAATACACCACAGCTGGATAAAAAGGTTCTCACTTCACGCTAAAGTTACTTAAATTCATATCAAAGTTTCTTTAAAAACCTCAATTTTAATGAACGTATAGTCAAGAGTATATAAAAAAGTTATAGCTAAGCATCGAATAGCTTAAGCTGAGCCTGACACTTTCGGTGGATTGAATGCTTTAAGGGGGCGCTTGAAGAGCTGCTACTGAATTCATACAATGGACCGAGAGGCGAGATGTGGCTCATTTCGAAATTGTAGTGCATTGGACTCAACTCAGTATAAACCACTTCACACTCAGTGCAGCAGTAGCAAGGCAATATTTGAAACTTTAAATAAACTGCCATATTACTAAAACTTCATTAATACATTTGTATGTAAATCATTACTAAGTTATGCCTTCATTGTTCGACTATTCAGCCACAGAATAAGGTTTAACAGTCCAGCTTTGACGAACAAATGCCTAATTCAATTCAACTCAAAAAGGCACCCCAAAACAAAGCAACGAGCGCTAAACGACTGTTTTATGTGCCATTCGCAGTTGGTTGCGCGGGCGCAAGTCTCGCGCCGAGCGGCCGTCCGCTGCCCCACAGCGTGGATCGATACTTATTTGCATACACGATAAAAGAGACCAGTCAACATGCATGATATATTAAAATCACGTCTGCGGAACAATTAACAGAAACGAGCGAGCGATCAAATAATAAAAAGTGCCTTTGTCATTACAAACAGTCGAGGCGACGAACATTCTTAGAAACACTATAACGCCAAGAATAATAATAACTCCGTATAGACGATGAATCGGTTTTCAGACGTTAACCAATCGACGGCGCGCGCGCAAATCACCAATATGGCGGATATAATAATTACATCGTATATTTTGTATTACAGTTTCATATGACATCTATGAGTGTATCTGAAGCTATTGAGGACGCAACAGCACAAGCATCGAAGTCAGAACACGTACATTTTATAACGGATCCATTACAAAGTCTGTAAAGATGCCTCAATCTTTGACTGATGACTCAGTTTCATACAAGTTTTTCTTTATATTTTCCTTAAATGGTCATCTTTTGTCACAATGTTCCTTGAATATTCGGAGTTATATAGCTTTTGCATTTTAATTATTTTACTTGTTATCCACTATAGTAAAGCCTATTCAAATACTAAGGCCAAGTCTATCAAGTTAATTATCATCGATTGACAACAAATGGCTCCCAACGCAAAATTGTATGGAACAATAAAATTCTAATGCTGAAAAATGATGATTTGTATAAATTTTCCAGTCGTCACTCACAAACCCGTACACAATAAAATTAGATACGTTCAAGAAATCAATACTGAATGACGCAGATATAGTAATTAACAATAATACCTATCACGAGTAGGTATCTATTCAAACCTTGTTGAGCATTTGAAAACAATTTTCCGACGCGTAGAACGAGCGCAAGTCAACCTCAAAACATCAGAGGGGACAAAAAGGCGAGACGAGACACATCACCTCCAACCTCCGATTGAGAAACCCAATTTGAATAACAATCAATAAATTAATGTACAACCGTAATTTATTCATAAGCGGAGAGTCTGTGACACACCGGTGCGACGAGCACTGAATCCAAATGAAATTTTATAAGAAACGCTCCTTTTCAACAGCCCATTATGGACAGAATGTAATACTTTTCTTAACGTATCATCATTATCGGTCCGCATCACAATGCTCCTTTGAGTACGAGTGTCGCTTAAGTGGACTAATCTCTTTACACGTAAAAACTGACGGCACCGAATGAGTTTCTCGTGTTGGAATAATTAGTCTGCAATTGAAAGCGTGCTTTATTTCAAGAGACTGGACAAAACGGACATGACACGGTTGGCCAACGGTAAAACACTTTCACGAATACAATGATAATTATTACAAAAGAGTATGATTCCGAAACGGCCTGTACGCAACGCTGTTTTTAGAATATGAAAAGAAAATATTTAAATAATGTCGCGTAGGCAGGCCATAAATAGCGGCTCGTTAATTACCGACTGTAATCACATTTCGCCAAACGCGTTACAACACACATGTCCCATCCCTTCGCCGTTCTATATTTAAATATTATTAAGGCGGGAGTTGGGCACGCTCCCTATTCCGATAGAATTGAAAATAAATTATGAAACTTTGTGTCACCTTCAAAGTGTTACCAAATGCATAATCGTATGTCTCGCGTCTAACATAAATACATTATTGTAATTAACCAAAACTACAATTCACATAATGGCAATGCAAATATTCGCCATTACAAGTTTTGTATGCTTGCTTGTTGCTTGTTAAATATGTTGAAAGTATGCATCGAAACACCTAAACATCTTTTCACACTTGACTTTTCCTCTTGCTATTTTCGTTTATTATTTATTTAGTAGGTACTTACTACAAAGAAAAATCTAAACACACAAAGGTAGGCAAATTGCATTCACATAAAAACCAATACAATTTACGCATTCCATTAAAGAAAAACATAAATGGTTATAAAGAATGAATTAGTTTCAAATTATAACTAAATAGAGTTGCGCAGGGGCATCGAGTTAGATTCGCGTGTCGTCACGAGCGCCGCCGGCGACAGTCGAGCTGAAATGTCGATGGATCCACATTTTAGTAGTCATTTGAACATAATCATCTCAATTTTACAACAACATCTAACAAAATACTTTTGCAGAGACGTGCGAAAACTGATTCAGATAAAATTAGCATCTAATAAACTGTATATGATACTTCAGGAACTTGACCGGAAAATGTGACAAAATATTTTCGTGATTATCATATCATAGTGACTACTTTGTCATTCATCAAACAACGTTTGTATTTGATGTCTCATCACGAGACCTAGTTACATTGAAACTGGTCCTTTGAGTTGAAAAATGTGGTCCTATTAGTCATTTTAATCGGACAATTGACAGCAGAAATAAAGTTTTTTTTTTGCATAGAAGACGTTTATTTTGTATCACACAGTGCTAGCCGTGTGTGCGTGTCCAAAACATTGCTTCAGGGGAACAGTAGTCAATGATCGTGGCTCCAAATTGCACGCTGTCAGCCCCAGTCAGGACGAACCGATCCCACCGCCGATCAAACTCACTGCTAAATTGTGGGAATCGATTATTCTGCAGTTCTTTGACAAAAATGCATCAATGCGATTTGTTTCTTGCTAGTCGATTAGATCTTCATTATATCGATGTATGTTTACGTAAGTGGTGGGTGGTTTTTTTCCACAAGCTTCTGTTAGTAGTTCCCAGTGAGAATAGAATTCGTTTAATCGATTCGCTATAACAGAACTGGCTAGCTTCGTTTAGAACATTGGCAGATAATTTGTTATTTATCATAACGGTTGAAAATATCTTTTACAAATTACTCAAGAAGAATACAAGATAGGTCATCAAATTAACATCTTTCAGAATAAAGACTTCATAAAATTTTATAGAGATTAGGCACTAAGTATAAATTCTTAGTTATATTTCCTGTAATGAGCTGCAAAGCTCGATATGTCGTGATCAAGCGGTGTGCGGTTATGGCTAATTGCAAGCTTTCCCGCCATCGCTGCTTCATTTCCAAGATGGCGACGGGCGTCGGAGTGCGATTTCACGTCATTAAGACTAGTTATCGCGCGACCTGCCCGCTATCCTCTAATTATCCGCTACCGGTGCCTCCCAACGCAATAGAAATAATATTGGATATTATAAACTGGAAATATAATTCACTTGATCGACGTGGAGCTACATGTGGCGCAAAATGGGCGTAAACTCTTCGAATAATTGCTTTCTAATGTACGAGAAGCGTTCGAAGTTAGCTGATTGCTGTCCATTTTCATCAGTAAATGCATATTACAATCGAAGTGTTGCATTTATCGATTTTCAAATCATAAGATCAGTTTGCGTTGTTATTACCGGTTTCATTTACCGCAATCGAGGTGAATAATTCAAGTGTTCCCGATACAAATTGTTACTTTCAATATTGTATATTAAATCGATAAGTCTTTAATTCTCATTATTTTCAAAATTACGAGTTCGAATTCTAACTGTCATAAGTAGCGGTGGAGCGGTGCTAGGTAGCGTGCGCACGAGGTCCGCCCTCCACCGCGCGTGTCTCGAGAGATACAGAAACATAATCACTGTAATCTGTAATCAAAACGCCCGCTATTAAACAGTAGCAACACTTCTCGATATGGACACAACGTCTATGGAGATTCTATTGAGTCTGACTTACCTATAAAATAAGTAGAAATTTTGTTGTGTTGTATTTTCATTTCTGATACTACGCGGACAAAGTTTTTTTGCTATTTTATTGTACCTACGTGTAAATCATTGATTTATCAATCTCATCGGTCCCCGTTAGATAATTAAAGTCAATGAATGATAAAATTTTAATTAAATGTTTGCTCTCTTGCGTGAATGTTCCGATAAATGGTAGGTACTGAGAATTTCCAACATGTTATAGTTTCTACGAACTTGTCTGTTTGCTATAGCCTCGATTGGATGATAGGTAATATGATAAGCCCCGAGAACTATTTCGAAAAGTTAATGAACTTTATTTCCTTAATAATAAATTTCTATTGGGAAAAATAAGTTATGAAGACTCACTCTTACTCAACTTATAATAAAGAGTTCACGTTCAAAACTGTTCCAATCACGACATACCAAAGACACGGCATTGTTTTTCTCGTCTCATTAAAAACAAATACTGAATAGTCTATGGCGCGGAGGTTCTCTATTTAGATTTTGATTGTTGTATCTTCAAGTATAGGGAACGTATCATTAGGGCTGCGATACACATCATTATTCCGAGAATCGGGATCGTCTGCATAGGACCCGCTAACTATAGTCCGCAGTGGCGTGTGAAGCCGTGAGAATCCGTGCGATATATCGTACCTGCTAGATTGACGGCAAATCAATGTCATGCCGCTGTTGTTTTGTTTGTACACGCAAATTAGACGACGCTACTGATGCTGTTTTTTCTTATTAAACGACACAACATCGGTCCTTAGATGGAAAAAACGGCCAATTTATTACAATTACTTTTTTGTTACATAATCACCTAAACGTTTTCTCAATATTTTCTCTATTCTATATAAAAATAAACATAGAAATTATCGATACTGCTTTTTAACTCGAGCGTTGTCGCCATCCCTAGATTTCCTTCGAATTAAAAAGAGATTTTTTTATAGCGGGCCGTGATTGGACAATTAATCACGTCGATTACGCATGCGCCACATCACTGACGCCGCGCGTTTATAGAGACAGCTACTTGAAAAGAAACATTCGGCCATTGAATAGCTTTTGTGAAGATCGCTTAATGCTCTTTTATGTGGTGTTAATTAATTATATTTAATGCGGTCGTAAGTTTTTGTCGCGTTGTTTGTTACTGGGACAGATTAATACTTTTTGTGTGTGTCTTATGAATTTATTATTCATTCTGCTGTTACTGGGACAGATTAATACTTTTTGTGTGTGTCTCATGAATTTATTATTCATTCTGCTGAATAAAAGTTGAATACGTTGTCGGGTAGATGAAATAACATTTTGCAATGGTCGACTTGACACTTAGCTTTGAAATAATTTATTCTGTGAGACATATTTAATTGTACAATGTGATTATTCAAGACCTTTATGTCAAACTGTGATCTTCTTTTCTAAATTTAAAATTAAATTCTTAAAAGTAAGACAACCCTTACCTTAAACTTTTATAAAAGCTACATTTGTATAAAATCGAAGTAACAGATTAACAATCAAAAGAATGTATTAATCGTCTCCGGTTTTGGGAGGGGGAGATCAAAGTACCTCTGCGCACGCGCCGGTAACGTAGCCCAACTGTTTATAAACAACACGATAGCCATTGATACCGACTTTAGACGAGGTTTTAATTGATTGGATTAATTAGGAACGTTTTGTTATTATTAAAAATGTTATTTTTGGAGGAGAGGGTTACATGGAACGTATAGGTTGAGTGCATGAAATAACTACGTAGCATA